AGAGATCTTCTTGATTGGATCACCTAAAGCTGGAAGACACACCCTAAATGTGGTGTTACTTTCGGATGGCAGCCGGTATAAAAGACCAAGGCAGAGGAGAACGCCTGGCTTCTTGCTGCTTGCCTTCTCTCTCACTGGTGAGTTCGTCTTGCTGCTAAAGACTGAAGACCAGCTGATCTTTTGGAATTTGTCAGACCTTCAGCGCCAGATTGGGACTACTGAGACATCCAGCCTCGTGGACTGAGCGACTATGGATTCTCAGCCTCTCCAGTGTGGTGCAGCCATTGCTGGGCTACTCGGACTCTATCCTGTGAGCTAAGCTGATAAATCTCTGCACATATATATTCATTCTACTGGTTCTGTTTCTTTGGAGAACCCTGACTAATACAGGGTGACATGTCTCCAGAATACTGCTGCCACTGTGCTTTAAGGTGGCAGAGGTTTAGGCCTTCAGGCTCCTCAGAGGCCTGGAACAGGATCTTGTAAGGTGAACAGCTACTTTCATATCTGAGCACTCAGCCTCAACGGGGTGGGATAGGCTAGGCATCTCTAATTTGCAGACAGACACTCCCTGCACAATCACCACGCATCCTGCAGCATAGCACAGACAGCTGCAGATTGAAGCAGAGCTGCAGTTATGAAAGGATTTGTGTCTGTTGAATGCTCCATGGCTTCTGGTCTTCACTATGTGACCTGGGGCAGGGTAGTACCCAGTGACCTCATAAGATGAAGAGCAGGGATGAGTGTTCTCCCGCCGAGGCATGTCATCTTTGACAACAGCCTACCCATGGTCCCGAGGCCAGTGATCATTTGGGCAGCAAGTGTTTCTCTAGCACACCTGCTGAGGTTTTATATCATCAGGACAGGTGAGACCCTGCTCTCCAGGTGTGTCAGGTCATCTGGAAACAGGATATTTTGACTGGTCAAGCAGTCAGAGCAGGCCACCCAGAAGGGACAATTGAAGGCATCAGGGCGAGTCTGACAGTAAGGATCAAGGGAGGGGGCAGACAAGGACCACCTGGGAACTGGGAGCATGTGGCCATGCTTGCAGGAGTGTCAGCAGAGCCTTAGTTCTGTGTTGATTGGGGTGGTCACATGGGGACACAGAAGGGAAATTTCATAGTAGTCTATATCTCACACAGCACTTTCCTCACCGTGAGTATGTGCCAGGCCCATCAAGATGTTTGGTAGCTATGTCTGTTTTGAGGAGGGATTTGAACCCAGAACTTGGCACTAAAACCCCTGCATGCCCCTCAATTTTACAACTTCCTCACCCTTGACATATATACATGTCTAGAAGGAGAACAAAGCTGCTTAAATCACCTTACATCAGAGCTAGGGCCTGGCCCTCTTAAGTCCTTGATGCTGCTCTGGGTTGACAGGCAGGTGACTGGCATTTGTAGCCAAGAGAAAAGCTGGTTCATGTCCCTGTGCTCCTGTAGCCAGCCTCAATTCCTCCTTATCATGTGGCCGAGCTGCTGGGATTAACACCCAGGAGTGTAAGCTGGGTGTGGCTCAGAGGTAGATTATTTTCAGTGTACAAAGAACCCGGGAATTCATCATCAGGACCATAAGAAAAACATTTAGAGCAGAGGCCAGGAAACTGCCACAGACCAAATGCCACATGCCTACTTACCCCCACACCTGCCATAGCTTCTATCCTGCTAGGGTAGAGCTATGACCACCCTCCCCCCAGCAGAAAATACTTATGGCTTGACCCTTTATACAAGGAGGCTTTGTCAAGCTCCCCTCAGAATGTTGGGCTGATGTTCATGTAGCAGTGTGGAAAAGCTCAATGATGTATCATTGCATAAGAAGCAGGAGGCGGCCCAGCGTGTATTTCCCATTTTTAGAACTCGTGAGCAGAACAGTATGTAAGCATTATATATATATATAATCTCCACACCCAGCTGTGTGCACGTAAATGCAACATGCGGTAGATAGCTCAAAAAAAGACAGTTGTCTGGAGGCCAGGCTGGGGGACACACCTTAAACGTTTATACATTTACCCCTGTACTTTAAAAAAAAAGTTTTGTTCCATTTTCTGCATTACCTATTCCAGGAAATAATGAAATAACACATTTGAAAAAGTACAGGTGTCTGAAGAGCTGAGATAAGGAAGGCAGAGGAAGCAATCTCTTTGGCTGTATCTCTTCACCTTGGGGGCGGGGTGGGGGGAGCTTTTTCTGTCGGAAAGTTCTTGGCCTAATAGCATCTTTCTTGAAATCGGCTTTGAAGTCCCAGTTGCATTTAAGTGGAAATACATTTTGAGATGAGCTTTAAATGTGAAGGTGGTGCCTGTGCCTTGAATCAAGTCTTGTGGGCTGTTGGTACTTGGCCTCTGGCCCTAGTGACCCTTGATTCTTAGGGGAGGCCTCGTTTGGAATGAAGAAAAGACAGTGGCACACAGCTGCCAGGACTGGGACGCACTCAGTGCCCCTTCCCAGAATGACCTCTGGCATTTGTCCTCTTCCAGGGACAGCCTGAAATCACTTCTCAAAGTTAGCTGTTCAACCAATTTGCCAGTCCACCAAAAAGCCCCCCTTTGTCCTGAGCCATGTCTGCTGGGCTTTATGTTTCTAGACTATCCCTAAGTGCTTCAGTTCCTTTTACATGATGATTCTCAACCCTCTGCCCTTTAAAGAACCAGAGGCCATGCCTGCCGAGTGAACACCTGAGCCTTTGCAGCCTGGCCTGAGCACTGTTACACACTCCCAGGTGACTCTAAAGCAAGCGTAGGCTGAGAACCACTGCTCTGTGAGTTCAGAACAGACCCCAGTGTGAGTATCAGCTCAGCCACCTCCTGTAGGATTTGGACCTGGTTGTCTAGTAACCTTCAGTGTTCACCACCTGCTTGGCAGGTGGCTCCCGAGGTCTGAGTGAGATGGTTTAGGGGAGTAGCTGGCCGAGTCTCTCCTTCAGAACAAGGACCCTCTTCTCTACCAGGCAGCAGAGCAGACATGGGCTATAGAGTCCTCTTCTGCACCCCCATCTCAACTCTGCAGCTTGGTGAGGGAGAAGAGGTGTCCCGATATATCAGGCCTTGCCTTGGTCTGCCAGCCTCACTGTAGACAGGGCTCGGGCCAGGTATGGTTGCAGCTCTGAGGGTCACTCAGCCTGTGCTGCAGCTGCTCACCTCCACACTGCAGTGTGAGTTCAGCCAGCAGGAAGGTGAATGGGGCCAGCCATGTTCCAGTAAAGCTTTGTCTATACTAGCAGACTAAACAGAAAATCCTTCAGCCGTGGACTCACAGTGCAAAGGAGACTGAGGTTATAGACAGAGGCTTGTAGACACAGCCACACTGTCCCTAGAAGCCGGCCTCAGGATGCTGTTTGAGGAACCACAGGAAATGCCCGGTGGAGGGCCTGGGGGCTGTGCATGAGAACTCAGGGCACACAAGGTCAGGTGGCATTCTAAGTGACCCCCTACCTGCCATGTGGAGTGGATGGGCCCAGAACCCAGGCTGTAGCTGTAAACACAGGTGTGATGATCTGTGGATGGATCTGTTCCTAGACTTTCAGAACCACAGGTTGAGGTGACCTTAAAGCCTTCTGGACCTAGAGTCTGGGGGTGGGGAGCCACTCTGAGCACTGGCATCATTATTGTGGGAAGTGACATCACCCAGAGTCACCCATCTAAGGCTGGGATTAGGATAGGCAGCCATGCTTCCCAGACTCCAGCCTGCTCATCCTGTTTCCCACTCTTCCCCTGTATCTGTGTGTCCTACATGGTAGGATTGTTGGGCTGACAGGTGCCACCACACCTGGAGTTCTTTAGAACTGCTTTTACATTATCTTGACCTGTGCATGCCACAGGGAGCCAGGTAGAACCAGGGCCCCTCCACCATCCCCCTCATATCTATTTAGGAACCCTGGCTGCTTTCGCTGTAAAGCCCTCTCTCACTATAGGGCAAGGATTCACATTCATCCTGTAGCGGACTCCTCTCTCACCTGCAGTGCTTGTGCCCAATAGGAAATGGAGAGAGCCCTACCTGCTCCTCATGTGAACACCTCTCACCTTGAGCACAACCTCCATGGCCTCTACCTCCTCATCCTCTACAGAACTTGAGAAAGGCCCTGGTCCCTGCTTGCAGAGCTGCAGCTGAGGTGGTTAGAACCCACCATCCACTCAGTTGGGCAGAGTCTGTGAGGGGACCCAGAAGTATCTATGTGTGTGCAACAGATGGAGAGATGAACATATCTTTCCCACATTGTCTGTAGCGTGTCCCACATTGTCTATAGCGTGTCCCTCCCCACCTTTGCTTTAAGTGATAGCTGTCCTTCTTTACAAGTCACCAAAGTAGGCCATGTCATTGTGGGCTGCAGTGGCTGCAGGCTTTCCTAGTGGGCAGATACTTGATGGCCAGTGTTAGCGAGTCCCCATTGTTGGAGTCAGAGCCAAAACACAGCTTTGAGAAGGTACCCCACACCCCTCCCTTGTTCCAAGGGGGCTTCCGGTCATCCCAAGCCCTGACTCTGCGAGTCTAAAAATAGGTCCATCCACCAAACAAGTGTTCAGACCTGCAGCTCAAGCTCTGGGCCTGCCCATGCTTCACAGCAGCCCCTCCCACAGTGCTAACACTGTCCTGGTCACCAAATACCGACATATCCCAGACTGTCCACTTAGTATGAATGCCAGCAGAGGTGCCCATTGAACATCTCAGCTGCACGTGTTACAGCTCTGAACATAGGGTTCTCTCACATTTTCTCTCTGGCTTTGTAATGAGGCTTTGCTGGGGGTTGAAGGGAAATGGGGCAGAGCACCTAGCTGGTGAACTCATTTGCAGAGCAGGTTCCTACACAGTGGCTTGAAGTTAGCTCAGACACAGCTGGGGTTAGTAGGCCTTTAGGGTTTTTACAAAGTGGGAAACATGTACAGCAGTATGAAGACCAGTTGGAGTTGGCCAGAAACTGTCCCCTTTCTGTGACCTTGCTGCTGGTCTCATCCCATCTGTATCATCTGCATTTGAGCTGTATTTGAGTCTCCTCCTGTCTTACAGGGACATCACCCCACCTGGAGAACCACTGAACAAGAATAGCCGGCCCAAAGTGGCTTCCCGCTTCCCCAAACTGTCCCGTGGACACCCCAAGGAGATGCGCAATGTGGAGCCCCAGAGTGGTGACCTCTGACCTCAATGGAATCCCAGACCCCAGCCACAGCAGCTGGCCCGACACCTTGGCATGACAACCACGTCCCCCCAGAGAGCACACCCTTCCTGCTGCCACAGGCCACTGATTAAACTGGTCTATCTTAGCTGCTGGATCCCTGTCCTTAGAGAAGGCATTGCTCACTGGACAGACACAGATGGGGACACTGTCACTAACCCCCAGAGTGGCCAGGATTAGTTGTCACCTCCTCTAGCTCTACCACGATGGGTGCCAGGCTGGGCTGGATGTCCTGGATGCACAACTCCAGCTTGTCACATGGGTGGAAGTGTTCTGATGCCACCTGTGACACTTTCCTGTGTGGGAACTAGAATGACTGTTACTCTCCTGGATTTTCTCCTACCACAACTGCCTGCTGCAGCCTGTGGACAAATCTCCTTCCTGAGTTTCCCTCTCCCCATGGTGTTAGACACCCAGCCCCATGGCTCATGAAGGCATCTTACTCCAGGCAGACATCTTATGACCTGGCAAAGGAGTCATTAGTGACCTTGTCCTTGAAGAACTCACCCTGCCCTCCTGTGCTCCACAAAGCACCAGCCATGTAGGACACCTGGGGCCACTCCAGCAAAAGCAGCTGGTTAGACCTGAGGGGCTTCACCATCATGCCAGGCCCTGAAGCAGCCTGGTGACTATGGGAAGGACATGCCTGGTCCCAGAATTAATGGCCATGACCTCAGGGCATGGGGAGACTTGGCTCTGGACACCACTGGGAAAGACCTTTTGGGCTTTCAGATCCACTGCCAGCACTGAACAGAGTGTGACTGTCCCCAAAAGCATGTTTAGCACAGACTGTCCCCAAATATGGTCTTATGGGGAGCAGAGCCTTATGGCCCCAAGATGGATATTCCCCTGTTGCTCTCAGGGCATCATCCTAGAGACCAGGACTCACAGGCATGGAGTGAAACAAAAACCAACTGCCTGGCAGCCCCCACTCTCCTTGACCATCCAGCCCGGGTCCCTCCGCTTCGCAGAACCTGCACTGTCAGCAGTTTAATCTCTGGAACCACGGAACCATCTCCATCTCAAAGCCCCTGAGTGTCTAGGTGCAGCTCAGAGGAGTGTACAGAAGGGGCTCTGGAACAAGCCACATGTGTTTCTATCTGTAACCAGTGGTGAAGCCAGTAGTTTGAGCATATCTCCATGGGGAAGGCAGACTGAGTGGGCTAGAAGGACCTCAACTCAAAGCTGAGACCTTGGCAAATGGCCTACGGGAACAGGGATGTTTCTTTGTCCAAAGAGCACCCAGGGATGGTCACCTGGAAGGTTGGTGCCACGTACAGTCAGCCAGAGGAACTTCTTTAGGGTTCAGGGAAACAGGCACCTCAATAGCTTGGACTTTGGAGGGCACCCTGGGTCAGGTGGGCTATGCCCAGGTGAGACAGGCAGGCCTGTTGGTCCTCATGACTGGCAGCAGGAGTTGGGGGTGGTATGGGGAGGCCCTCTGTCATCTTGTGAGGAAACAAAGAACCCAAGAGTCCTCCTGGCCCTAGAAAGCTCCTGTGGACCTTCCGCCTGCCCCCCAAGCGGCCATTCTCCACAGGCTCCACATGAACTTAAGACCCAGGGCATAGGTTGGGCCATTGGACCCGGAGGCCCAATACACAGCCCTGCTGACAAACAGAGCCCTGTAAGACTCTGAGAGGTACTTCTATGTCACATTCTGTAAAAAAAAAAAGAAAAGAAAGAAAGAAAAAAACCTTGCCATTGCACACATCTCCCATTGCCCACAGTGCCGAGCAGCAGGCTTTGGGGTCAGGTCACCTGGCCCAAACATACATCACTGGAGTCTGGTCTCTCTCACTTCAGACACCAGACAGGAAACCTCCTTTCACCTTTGACACAAGCAGTTAAAGCTGAGAAAGGGAAAAACAAAAACTAAAACCCCAAACAAGGCACCCAGAGCCAGTATCTTTTCAAGACTTAATTACAGAAAACATGCCCAGGCCCTCCACAGTGTGGAATACTGGAGCAGGGTTCCAGAGCCCACTTGGGAGACCTTGACTGCTTGCTGTCTCCCCAACCCCACACCTTTTTTATCCCATGTTGAGGGTTGAAACCAGGGCCTCGCACATGCTAGGCTCTCTGCAGAGCCACAGGCCAGCCCTGCCCTGTATCCAAACTGGATATCCTGGAATCATCCCCACCTCTAGGTCTCTGCTCTCACATTACCCCACAAGGGTGTATGAGCCCCTCAGAACTTTAACTTTCAGAGTAGTGTGGGGTGGATTTTATGAGCTGGAAGGCTGTTCCCTTCTGTCCACTTGATAACAGAGCCATCGAACTCCCCAGACGTGAGGCCCAAATTCTAGAAAGGAACTCAGAGCTGCCATGGCCACCCATCTGACTCAACTCCACCTCTTCAGGAAACTGCTTCTTAACCCTGAACCTAACCATGACCTCAGCATGCTTGTGGCCACTAAACTCCGTTCTTGGAACAGTCTGCACATCCTGACGAATGGGTCACTGTTCTAGGCCTTGGCTCCTGTCTTGCTTGCTCTGGATCCACAAGGGGATGGAGCTCCATCTTCCCGTGCAACTTAAAAACACAGCTGGCCTCTCAGGCAGAGGCCAGTGGCCATCACCAGAATTTCACTTTGCGGCCTTCACCTCTGCACACACCACCCAGCCCTGCCCAGTCGAGGTTCTCCAGAGAGGCCTGGATCTGCAGCACCCAGGACAACCTAAAAGCATTCTTACCACGTGCCCTGTCTGTGCTCTACCCTCCCCTCCTACGCTGGCTAGGAGACATCCACGAAGGGACAACCTCATGCCCAAGGCAATAAAGGTCTTGATTGTGCAATATTCCCACTAGGGACGATGGCCACCCACACCAGGGCCTCCTCCAGGCCTGGGGCATGTGACCAGAAGACAGGCACCTCCTCACAAACAAGGTCGATTGTAATGAACAGTCTTCACAATATTGTGCAGTGAAGCTAACATTAAATATCTGCTGTTCGGGTTGGCTTCTGTGCTAATTTTGCACAATTGTAGCACTGTATATTTTATCTAAGGTTTCTGTGCCAAAAAGTTGAGTTCACTGTTGCTATAACACACAGTCTTGGTTATGTTTTTGAGGTAAAATTCCAGCTACCGGATTGAAGGATGGAGAATTCAGTAGCTGGGCCTCCTGGCTCTAGGCAGGCCAGACCCCGAGGCCCATCTACTTACTGGAGCACACCTGGCCATCGTGTCTCCTGAGCTATGAGCCACATCAAGGGCCTGCCTGTGACAGTTGCAGCAGCTGTCCCAGAACCCTTACCTTTGGTTGGTTCTGACCACCAACTTCAACAGGCTTCCTCATACCCAAAGGTTTTAAAGAAGTAAAAACCTAAAGATGATTACATCTGAGCTGCCCACAGACTAGCAGCCCCACTTGTAGAAAGTGCTGTATAGCTGTGTGTTGAGGCCCTAGGTTTGGTTTTCACTGGTGCCTACCACTCTCTGCTCAACCCGTGCTGGCCAGCACCTTCCCCTCCAGCCTGCTCCGCTCTACTACCTGCCAGTGGAGCCCACTTGTCTACTTGGAGGGATCTTTTGCCACCAATAAGATTCTGGACAGAGGACATAGGACATGTGATGGTGGGTTGCACAGGGACCATGGCTTGGCTGAGTACCTAGAAAGAGACCCGAAGAGCCAGAACCTCCAGGGGAGAGAGAAGACCTCCCTAGTGGAAAATCTCCATTTACCCCAGAAGGGTCCCTGGCCTCTGCAACCACATGTCTGGAACCTGGGGCGCATAGGGCCCAGAAGTCTGCAGGAGTCCAAGTGTGTGGTATCCCAACCCGTCTCTTATGTTAAGGTTTACACAATAGAATTTTTAAACAAATATGTTTAATTTTCTAAAATCTCTTGTATTAAAATTTTCTTTGGAATAAACTGTGGTAATTTTGTTACAATCTGGTTGAAAGAAACCTTTTCGGTGATGAGATAAAAATGGCAACATTTTCTAAATCAGGCACTGGGTGTGTGGTTTCTTTGTCTCCATTCTTTCCCAACAACTAGGGGTTTAGGGGAACTGTATACACATCACAAAAAGGCTCTATAAAGTTCACTCATCATTTCACGTGACACCTTAAATGGCATGATTCAATTCAACTAATAGCAGCCTTAAATATTTGGGGTTACTTATAGTAATAGGCAGATCTTGGTAAATAAGAGGTGTAGAATCAAAATTCTATTCCAGAAAAAAAAACAGGTTTCTGTTCATTCACTTATTCAACAAACAAGTTATTACTAGGCACCTACTGTATACCTGGTGCTTGGCAGGGAGAGAACAAAATTTCGATTCAAGGTGAGGTAGATGGACAAAGATTTTCTGTTCCAAAGTCATCCATGTGGATAATCACAGATGTCAGGGAGGACGATGGGAGCTGAAAGAACAGCAGGCCGGGGCGGGGGGGGGGGGGGC